TGCCTAGAAATCCCACAGTTCAGAGACAGAAAGTACCAACAGTAGCCACCATGGACAGGAAGAGAGCTGTCCTTCAATGGGTACAGCTTCCCCCATGGACAGGAAGAGACCTGTCCTTCAATGGGTACAGCTTCAGTGTGGATGAATATGCTCTGGAGATGGAGGCTAGTGATGGGTGCACAGCAATGACAATGTGGTGCTACCATGTTGTACCCTTGAAATGATTAACAAGCTCACCTTACACGTCTGTCACAAAACAAACCCATATTCAGCCAAAAATGCCATCAAACTCCCACTTAACATACTGCTGATGATGCTATTTGACTGGGTAAAAGGTCAATCTTCTTACAGTTAGACTTAAATCAGGAGCTTCCTCTCTCTGGGCATCTTTATTAATCAACATTAAAAGCTTGACCCATGAAATGGATACTGCTATGTACCAGAGAACCAGCTTCCCTGGGAACCACACCCAACACCATTCTCTTGGCCGCTCTCTCCTGCTACTGCCCTTCCTTATATCTGTTCTCATCTTGTACAACTGTCATCTTTTAGCCAATGCATTTAAAACTTAAGAAACTATAGATGGAGTGATAATATAAAAGACTCAAATGCTACACTTGAGTTTCATAGGTTTTTAATATGAATAAAAGGAATCGGAGGAGGGAGATACTGTCTTAGGATTCTAATAAGTGCATGTTTGTAGATCTAATATGCAAACCAAGAAAATGAAAAGGTTATATACATTGTGAGTGTGAGAAGAATGTCACAATCCCCATCTCATGAGAAAAGCTCCCAAGTTGCCTGATTTGTCCCCAGATTCTAAAAGCCCGCTTGCTATGCTTGATGCTATGCATAAGACAGGAAGCTAAAGTCAAGTACCACTAGCTTTTGGGAACAAATGACACGATGACAAGTGTAAAAGCCCACATTTTAAAATGATGAAATAAAAGTGAACAATTAGGACAAGGAAAGAAACTTCAAAGATGGGAGTAACCAGTTAGCTAAACATGGAGGAATCTAAGTATACAAAATAGCACGAAGCAACAACATGGCATTGACGTTTTCAAAGTAAACTGATACTGTAACTGAGAAATGCAAGTTGATGTAACAACTAGGATAAATTAGTATTTGAAGTCTCATATTTGAAGGGCTATGGTCTTTCTTATCTTGCTTCAAGTCCTCGAATATAGCAGGCAATTCATAACAAACGTTTTTGATTAAATGAAGGTTACTAAATAAGAATGTAGAAGCACTGAGTGTACAGGAGCTCCACGGAAAGACACAAAGGTGACCTAGAAGTTGTGGACTTTAAAGTTCTAGATGAGATAAAGTTAACACTTCAATGCTTAAGGCAGTGTGTATACAAGCATGAAGGAAACACGTCAACCCTTGGGTATATGCATAAGGAAAATGTCATGCTTACGGCAGTGTGGACAAGTTTGAGTCAAAACACTTGATTCACAGAGATAGAGGAGTCAAAGAGGAGACGGGACAGAAATCACACAGCCTTTTCCATCAGGAAATGGCAGCTCTTAAATTCCTAAGAGATGGGCTCATCACTAAGAGATACGTCTAAGGAAAAACAGGAGTTAAAAGTATGGAACTGGCAAGCCAATGTTGAGAAAAAGCATACCCATGTTTGACTCATCTATGGTGTAGAGGCAGGGGCGCAACTAATGGTCTTGTTTATTTGGCATGGGGAGCAAGAGGGTGACATTTAGCCTAGGCTGGCTTTGAACTCACTGTGTACCCAAGGGTGACAATGAACTAACTCTTGAGTCTCCTGCCTCCACCTTCTGAATTCTGAGATCATAGGTGTGGGCCAGCACACCTGGCTTTTGGACATTTTTATGATGTAATCAAAACAGACACAGAATCCACTCAACTTCCAAAATGTTTGAGGAGAACATTAGTCTACATGACAGGCCACATCTGCCTCACGGGTTAGCAAATTAATGCAATTTAATAATCACTTATATTTTAGTTAAAGTTTTAACTTTTAAAACAAGCTGAGTTTTCATTGGTCACATATACTTGTGAATTTAATGTTTATCCTTCTGTTTCTTAGAACATCCCAAATCTATAAGGCAATGAAAATTTAAAGAAAACAAAAAGGGAATTATTCTAGCCAACAGTAATGTCAAGCCATTTTTCAGTGCATAATAAAGAAAAATTCCAATAATCTGTTAAGTTTAAAAGTAGTAATTCTAGTTCAAAAAAATAAAGCCTCTCTAGATAAAAAGTAAAACATCCTATAAAAAAAAAGTCTTTGCTTTTCAAGATCAGAGACATGGCTGCTGCTCTTACAGACAGGAAAAGCAACAACTCATGGCTTTTAGAGTGTTCTGAGAGCTGTCACTCTTCTATTTAAGAATATTTGCTAAGGATTAGTGAGAGACTGAAGGCAATTCTACACTCACAGTTGACTGCTCTGACAGCTTTAGTAAGACTAAAGGTACTTAGCATAGAATATAAAGAACACCAGATTGTAATAGAGAGAAGAATCGTCAAGAGGAAGCCCTGTCTTCCTTGGGAAAAAGAAAAAGCAATGCCTGAACTCCCAAATTATCTTCAGATGTCAAGAATCTAAGAGTCACTGTGGCCTCTACAGGATAAAAGGGATGATGAAAAAGGAAGTCTATATAAGGATTCAAACTTTTCTCCTAAGATGTCATATAGTTCATGGCTCAAACTATAATTTCAAGAAATATATGAGAAAACCATGTTAAATAACAACAGTGGAACTCAAAGGCATGAGCTTTTGTCTCTTTATTGTTAACCAATGAATATTATCCAAAATTAGAGATGTATATGTAATTTACTTGTACAACATGAAATTATGCTAATGGGAAATTACCAAATACTCATTAGTGTGTTTTTACATTGCTATATGAACATGTGCTCTCAACTGCTAATGATAAACATTATAATTGGTTTAATCTCTATGGAAACCCATATTGCAAATGGCTGTTCCTGTTTAGAAAAATCCATACAACTTTAAAAATGGATTAAACCCATTTTAATCCTAATCTACAAATAGACTATTAACAGCAAATATAACTGTAACCTCTCAACACTGTAACAACTGGTGTTAGCAATAATCTTGTACACAATGAAAATAGGGGAAAATCAGTGAAAATCCATGGGAAGTCAACTCTTCTAGCAATAAGCACTATTGCTCTAGAGCTTTGGGAAAGAGAATGCTCCTGTTTCCAGGTAGGCCAGTTAAGTCCTACCATCTCCCTCTCATGTATGGAAAGCAGAAACATTCCCTCACAAATGATTCTGAAACATGTTCACAACCACTGTGCAACCGTCACTTCAAGGTTAACCAGTTGTCTCTTGTCCTACAGAATCTAAAAAATATATTAAGCAAGGCCTTTTCTTTTCATAATGTCTGCCCAAAATTACTCCTTTTAAAGTCAGCAAAATAAAAAAAAGCACGAGATATTTTCAGACATAAATGGAATCTACGGTGCATGAAAACTGCTTAATAAATGGCAATTGTAATAGATAAAGGTAAGTGTGAGTGCATAATACCGAATGGAACATAGCTGAACCACACAGAGAAAACAAGGCTTTCTGTATCTTCAAACTCAGGTGCTTCATGGTCAAAGAATATAAGAGCATCTTTCTAGCCAGAAAGACTTTTCAATAAGACATAATTGAAATGAGATTTGATTTTAGAGACTGCAAATAAAACAAGCAGTGATTTAGAAACCAAATATGCTAAGATGATGTACCTTCCCCACCACGAATAAAGGACGAGAATCCTTCACTGCAAAGGCAATGTCTTACTTCCTCAGACACAGACCACCCCTCAGCAAACAGCACACCAGTGACAACAAACAATATCTGAACACACATCAGAGCCTCACAGTTCAACAAAAAGGCAGTTAAAGCATTAGCACTGGAATCTCAAAAGTATTTTCAATGAAGGGCACGATTGAGACTGTCTATGGATAGCAGACATGCAGCGCACACACAGTGTACAGTGAGGTAGTATTACTTCCTTGGAACTGATGCTTTCATCTGCTGCCCTTGCAGGAGGGTCCAGGTTTGTTCCTTTTGACAATTAAAATCAGTTATCATCAACAGTATCTTCTATTAGACATCTGTTTCTACAGCAACCTAAGAACAAACCTTGATTTTTTTCTCAGAGGCCACTTATTCGCAGGCAGTTTTAATCAATAAATTCTCCTAGGACTGATGTCTGCTGGCTCCATCTCTGAGGCAGCAGGCAAGAAAAGCCATCAAAGGATTATAGGACATGTTACACCAATCACTTGAGCTGGCAATGATGACTGTGCTTAAGGAAATGCAAAGTAACCACCCAATAATGTAATTAAAGGATTTCTGTAATAATTAACCACCTCTGCACACTGTACTGTTCAATGTTCTAATCGTCTTGCGATGTAGTCTCCTACACAATGGCTGCTGTCTCATCAACTCTGTGTCTGTTTACCCCGATACCTCATCTTCAACACCTCCAGTAAGTGATGTGTATGACACCAACATTATGGCTCTGCCATGACAGGGCATGAGAAGCCACACTGAAAACACATGAGTGAACATGGAAATGTATGTAGGTCAAACATGGAAAGGGCAAAGAAAATTGAGTTCATTAACTAAACATGCACTGAAATGTTCACCATCATCCTAAGATGTACACCGTGCTCAAAGCACACAGACACATTTATCAGACATGGTAATTAGTGTTAATATTCAACTGAAAAAAAAAATCAAACAAAAAAAATGAAAAATGTACAAAGAGATGACAGGATAGCATTATCAATTCCCTGGCCAAAAGAAAAATGACCAAACATGACATCACACTGCCTTAATGCTGAAGAGCGCCCTTCAGACTTCTGCTAGTGAGCACAGTCAACTGCTGTGAGTGCTTTGGCAAGGTGGGATGCATTCCATCCATCTGCAAGGCCTGCTTTTCTCTGGTGGTGGTTCAGCTTAGGAAGGACATGTATCGCAAGAACAGCTCTCACATTGCTTCAAACTCATCGATGCGCTGCTTCGTATTGCCTTGTCGAATCTGTCGCAGAGTCTTGTACTTATCGCGGCCTGCTTTGACATTCTCGGCATGAAGAACATCATTCTGTGTTTTCTTGGTTTCATCTCTGGCTTGGGCTAATTCTGAACTTAATGCCTGCATTAAAAAAAAACATTATTATTACATAGAGTTTAACAAATTATGAAAAAAGTTTAAAGATTCAAAAATACATGCATACTAAATCTGACTCTTTAATATATTCTTAATCTTTCCACTGTGGAGTGTTTTTTTTTTTTTTGGTGTTTTGCCTGCATGTCTGTCTGTGGGAACTTACAATTATGACTTGCCATAGGGTGCTGGGAATTAAACCGGGTCCTCTGAAGGCCCAGCCAGACTGTTCTCTTAACTGTAGAATCACACCCAGTCCCACAAGCTTCTTTTGTTAGTAACTGGGATAGGGAGGAATGCCCGTGGCCTTTCTTTTCTTTAGTCATCAGCCATAATATTTTATATATTCTGAACTGCTTTAACTTTCTTAATCCAACACATGAAATAACTGATCAAGTTCAAAGTAGTCATTTTAAAGAAAAGTCAGTGTAAGATAAAAATGAACATTTTCTCTAGAAATCTTAATACAGTTATTATAATTTTCACTTTTTTAAATTAAGATTTCACCAACAAAAAAATTAAGTTACTTTTTGAACCGTTGAATTACGCTGAAATTTCCTACTCTGACCTAACAATATACATTTAATAAACTGATCTGTTTTAAAATATGAATAATTCTGATAAAATATTTTTGATAAAGGATGAAGTATCAAGTGTTGCACCGCTGTTTTAAAGACTAACGTAATTTTACACAGTACTAGATACTTTCTCCCTCTGAAAATAAACCCATCTATAATTGAAAACTCATAGTTAGCGAAGTCCTTGCTAATGGTTGTGTAATGGAAGCAACGAGAGACTTGTCACTTCAGGACAAATAAGAAGAGCCAATCGCAAGGCTGGCCCGGACTGCAAGGGCTCTGAGTGCACGCACAGCTGCATCAGTACCTGGAGCTGCTTCTTCACACGTTCATTCTTCTGCGTTTCCGTCACCCGCTCCTCCTCGCTTCTGTGGTTCATCACCCCCTCGCTGGACAGCTCGGCACTGGCCTCAGCGCTGTTCTCGTCCTGCTCGTCATGCTCGTTTTCCGTGGGAGGAACAACTGGCGGAGGGGGAGGGGGAGGGGGCGCAGACATCACGGTTTTTAACTCTTCTTTGGTCTTTTCCAAGTCTTCTTGAGCTGCAAAAGCCTGAACATTGAAAATAAGTTTGTTAAACTGGGAATAAAAATACTTTATTCTGTCTTTGTAACAAAAAAATATATTTCAAGGTAATCATGATAAATCCTTTTAATAAAACCTCCATTTTATAGGATTCTAGCAGATAGGAGGCATAAACATTTTTTAAACTTAAATCTGTACAATGCTGAGAAATGTCATATTTAACAGATTATATATGAGGCACAAGCAGAAAAATAAAGAGTTAATGGAATAACCAGACTGTCATTACTCTAATACAGTGGTCAATTAAAATCACTCACCTAACAACGGGTTAATCAGATAAGTCATCTCATATAATACAACATAACATATCCAAATTACTGATGATTTGGGAACAGTACTTCGTGGGTTGCTTAGAAAAGTCTCACTTTCCAGTCTCGTCCTATGTCCTATTAGGAGTACTCTATTTCACTCTCAAAGGGCTCCTAAACTATGGAGTCTCCCATAACAATTCCTTAAGCTTGAAGAGCTTAATGGTTGAATTTTAGAATCTAAATATAATCTAACATTACATGAGATAAAAATTCAATAAAATGGAATTATATAAACAGATTTCATTTCAAACATAAATAACTGTATACAAAAATATAAGAAATAGGAGAGAATATATACACTGTTCTAAAATAATGTCCTAGCTTGTAGGACTGTAATTTTAATTTTTAATTAATTTTTGTTGATTTCTATGCATTTTTGAATTGCTCATAGAAGTTGTAGCTATAATATATTTTAAAAGTTTGTATGACTCTAAAGTTCATAAATCCATCTCTAAATAGGGTCTATAAAATTCTCATGACAAAAGCAGTATAATAGGAAGACTAACCATTTTACCCCCTTTCTACATGTATTTTATATTTTTGCATATATACATATAATATGTCAAAAATGTTCCAATTATTGAACTGTCTCAAAGAAATTTAAGAACAGGAAAAAATGTCATACAGTAAGAGTATTTTACTGTAGAAAAACTATTGCGTATTTCATGTACCTTCCTTGGATATAAACATCATAAGTGCACTACAAGTTGATGTTATTGAATGAGACTCGTCGTCTCTGTGCCATCCCTCCAATTCCAAGCTTGACTTCTGCACTTGTGAATTCTCATCAGAAACCTTAGCAGCATCCACTGCACCCTTAAGAGTTACAAGCAGTTAAAAGGCTGCTGGGGAAGGAGCTTAGGAGACGACCTCTCCCTGCGGGAGCAGGGAGGTAGTGGTTGCTCAGAGAGACATTTTTCCTCAGTGGTGCAGCCACTGGCAAGCTCTTCATGTTTCTGTAACTAAGATTTTACCCAAGCTCTGTAACCCTAACAGACTCACTGGTCCATTAAAAAGAAAGCAACCCAGGAAAGTAGAAGGGAGATGCTGCGTGGGAAGGACAAGCACTCAGTGGGAGCAGCAGTGGAACTAGAGGGAGTAATTGGGTGAATATGGCAGGCTACAGTATATGCACACATGGGAAAGTCATAGTGCCCATGACTTAAAGCATGCTTGAAAAAAAAAAAAAGGAAAAAAAAACCCAAAAAGAAAACAAGAAGTCTTACTAGTAAACTACAGCCTAACTCAAGCTCGCCTCCTGTGACTGGCTGCTATGCTTCAGTCTTTACATCTCACTACGGCACCCTTCGGGCACTTATGAGCATCCAATATCCCAATCCATACTTCACATTGATTAGGTCTGGGGTTCTTTTTTGTTCTGTGTGTTTGTCTTTATAAAATCTTGCTCGCTCTGTTAACTGTGCTCTGAAATCTTAAGCCTGGTATGGCATATCCCACCATTGTGCATCAGCAAATATTTGTTTGATGCCCTATAACTAAGTTTCTATTATCCGACTGTCACCTAAATCTTCTAACTTTTGTGAAGTCACACCTGATTGTTGGCTATTCTTGCTTACTCTACTAACTCAATTCTTTCCTATATGGAAGAGTCAACAACATGCTTCATCCCTTAATCATTTCCAATCTTAAACTAATTTATTTCTCAAGACCCAACTTAAATGCTTATGACTTTCCCAGGTATCTGTCTGGTTCCCCTAGATGATCACCTCTTATGCATCCCCCAGGGACTGAGCATGTACCAACCTCACATCACCTGTACAGAGCAAGCAAGCACATTCCTGGCTCACTAACAGAGCAGCTATTCAGTAGACGCTACCACACAACAAAACAGTGATTACTTTGTGTTGCCACTCAGTAGCTTCCTCTTCCTTTTTCTTCTTAGCTTCCTCTAAAAGTGCAATCTTGGCAGTGAATTCGGCAAGTTCTGCTGCCTAAAAATAAAATATTTATATATTATAAATACTGGAGAAAATATTTTTTAATATTCTGTTATAATTCAGTCAAAAATTTTTCAGGTACCTGCTTTGGCTGTTTTAAGTTTCTCTTAGTCTTCCATTTTTTAAAAAAGGCAGATTTCCTGAAGATTTTAACTAACTTCTTTGAATAGGTACTTAATATAATGAGATAGATAATACAAGGCAAAAGTTAAAATACTTTTTTCTACAGATGAGCAGTTACTTACGTTTCATTAGTAAGAGCTTGAAATGTAAGAGCGTGTTTTAAAGTTATTAAACAAATAAAAATCATATAATATTCTGTTATTGCAAAGGCACTTTGTCAACAGTCTCATCTGATTCCTCACCAGTTCTATCTTCAAAGAGAGAAAATGAGAAGTTCAAAAAACAAAGGACAGGTGTGACATCAAACACCTTGAATCCATGCTCTCTTGGTACATAGGAAGTGGGAACAGATAATCAAGATCAAGAGTTCAAAGGTCGCCTAAGTTACTAGCAAGACTCTGTCTACAAACAAGATTCAAAGACATTCAGTAAATCAACACCTGAATTAATAAGATTTGGAATCTTCTCTGTGTCATGCATATTCTCATTATTTGGAAGTACATCAAATAAACAAAACTTCAACCAGTCATGGCTTATAAGATGACATCCAGAAACCAAACATGCTATCTCGATTTATCAAAGTGCAAGGCGCCACATATCTTACTGCAGAGCCAGTTCAAAGTCAAAGTCAGTGGTTGTCAACCTGTAAGTTACAACCCGTTTTGGGAAAGTCACAAGGGTCGCCTAAGACCATCAGAAAACAGTATTTGCATTATGATTCCTAACATTAGCAAAATTACACTTATAGAAACAAAAATAATTTTTTGGTTGTAGGTCACCACAGCATGAGGAACTGCATTGAAGGTCACAGCATTAAAAAGGTTGAGAACCAGTGGTCTAAGTGAATGAAAATCCTTTTGTTGGCCACTAGTTCCACTTAAAAGGAAATTGTAATGTAAACAGAATATACTTTATGAAAGAAAATCTATTTTCAATCTTTAAAAAGGAAATATATGACTCAAAACACATGGACCCCTTCATGCTGTTTGGGTTCCAGTTTAGTTTTTTAATTTTTTTCCGGCAGAAATAATGTTCAGTTCTGTCACTTGTTGCTATCCCTTCGGCATGCTTTCTAGAAAGTCAATACTTGGGTTTGCCATCACGCCATGTATTTGGTGAAGTTTAGCTTTTTCCAAGAACAAGCAGGGCCTTACCAGCTGCTCCTGGTTCTTCATCTGGTCCGCAGCTTGCTTGGCTATGGCAGATTTGGCCTCCTCCGCAGCCCGGCGCTCCTTGTCTAGCCGCTCTGCCTCTTCTTTTGCTCTTTGGCGCTCTTGCTCCAGTTCCAGAGCTTTCCGCGTCTGTTCTTCTAGTTCTGTCAAAGGTTTCACCCAGCGCACAGACATGGGTTAATTTCAATCATCCTCATTACAGCATGATGCCAAAAACTTGCAGTTTCTAAAAATCAGTGTTTAAATACACAAACACTTCAAATTTAACCTTGTAAAGAGTAATAGTTTTACAAATATGTAATTCAAAACTGTAAAGACATTGAAAGTCCCTTATAGTTCAAGTTGTATAGAAGTATATACCTAATTTTTTAAAAAATCTCTAATTTTAAGTTTTAATCTGGGGGAATTAGAAAAGCTGGGGCCTGGGTAGAATAACTCAGTAGGAGAATGTCTGCTCAGATGTACAAGGCTCAAGGTGCAATTCCCAGTACTGTCCAAAAATAAAGACCGAGTTTTCTTTCTTTTTTTTTTTTTTTTTAAATCTCAATAGGCACCATATTTAGAGATCTATAAATTAATGCATTTAAGACCTATGGGGCTAGGGCTCAGTGGTACAAGTCTTGTCTAGCACACAAGATGCCCTAGGCTCAAATATCTTATAGGTGATTCTTCATATCCTTAAACCATATACTTCAAAATTGGTAGTTTTTTAGTATGCTAAATATTTATGACTGTCATAGTAAAAAAATTCCTCATAACAAAATTCGTAGATATTTGGATTACAAATTAAATTTGACATAAATAGAAAATGTTATTTTCTATCAGTTTTCTGTAGTATCAATTAAAAAAACAAAACAGGTACAGTCAATAGCTATTTGTAATAAAAATTTTTTAAAGAATTTTTTAAAAAATTATACAAAAACCTATCTTTTAAAATGTTAAAATGAACATTATTCTAATCTCACCTACAAAGAAATATTTGGGTAGTCATATGACCTTATGGAGAAATGCTCAGCTTTACCAGCGCTCTGAAACAAGGGTTAACAAATGCTATTTTACTAACATTTGTTGAATCATCACCCACACCCTCACTCAGAAGTTACATATGACTGCTTTCACACGACAGCCAAACCAGCAATTGAGACTGTGTAAATGCCTAAAATATTTGCTCAATTACCATATGTGAGTCAAATCTGGTGAAGGATTTGATAAGAATGATAAAGAATACAAACTGTCCCCTTAGCTGGTTCATAAAAAATCTTGAACTTTCCATCTGGGGTATCTAAAATAGCAACTCTTTCAAGGCAAAGGTTGGAAAAACACAAAGTCAAACAGCTTATGTCCCTACTCATGTCCGAGTGGAGTGCTCAGTCATAATGTTTATATGGAGGCAACAGGCAAAGTTAATGTAAATTCAAACCAATAAAATTACAGGAAGCTTCTTTTTCTCACTCATATTTGAACACCAGCATTAAACGATTTTGAAAGTCAAATAATTTCTCACCCCAAGAATCAAGTTTAGAAGCTACTACTAACATTGTAGTAACAACAACAATAACAAAAAAACAATACAGCCCAAAACTTTTAAGTTTTTTCTTTCTCTTTTCTAAGATAATGGTTTATCAATAACACTACTGATTTCCTGGGGAAAACACATAATCTTAGAAGAAAAAAAAATAAGTGACAGATCAACAATCACAATTTTTAGAAATCACAGAACACTGGGACTGTGTATTACTGGCTAAAAAAAATAGTATACCTAAGCAATGATAGAGTTATTAATATGTCATTGCAAAAAAAGTGAAAATTTCAATGAATAACATAATTATTAGGATACAATAATTAAAAACAATAAGGCATAAACTTTTTCCCCCAGATACAATGGTGTGTAGTTACAGTCCTGAGTATTTTGGGAGGCTGAGGCAGAATGATCAGTTTACTCTAGGAGTTCAATGTCAGCCTGGTGAATAAACAAGATCTCCTCTTAAAACACTCCAGAATATGTGTCACTCACGCCTTCTGTGTGACAAATGAGAACACATTTTCACATGTGCTGTGTATTCACTCTGTAAACAAAAAGGTATCTGGTTCCCCAAAGTGGACAGCAGCAAAGCCACACAGCAGCCTGGGACTAGCATCCTATTGGGCCAGGAAGACCAAGATGAAGATGTAGAGCTTGAGACTGAAAAAGTACTAGGAGGACAAGTGCCTGAAAAGGGGCAACCAAGGAGAAAAGTCTCATCAGATATGCATGCTATTTTCCTTCAATATATTTGCCAATTCCCCAAATACACACATAAATGAGACACTAGAAAACACACAGGAAGCACGTAGGAGACTACAGAAGCAGGGAGAGAAATCACACTCTTGTCAAATGACAGCATTTGAGGCTAACACAGACAAGTCTACCATCTCCCTGGGAGAAAATATTTGCAAATCATGTATTTGATAAAGATCTGTATCCCAGACATATAAGAACCCTCAGAACATCAAGAAATCCCACTAGCCAGTGGGGAGAAAATCTGAACAGTTTCCCCCCAAAATAAAGAAATGGCACATGGAAAGACACTCAGCTTCATTAGGCACTGAGGTATCTAAGTCAAAATCCTAATAGTACTGAAAATCATTTAGGATGATGATAACCCAAAAGATAAACATTAACATATCCTGGAGAGGATGCAAAGAAATCATACATGGCTATATAAATATAAAGCCATTTTCAAACCAATAGGCAGTTCCTCAAAAACTGTAATCAAGGGCTGGAGAGATGGCTCAGTGGTTAAGAGCATTGCCTGCTCTTCCAAAGGTCCTGAGTTCAATTCCTAGCAACCACATGGTGGCTCACAACCAACTGTAATGAGGTCTGGTGCCCTCTTCTGGCCTGCAGGCATATACACAAAGAGATATTGTATACATAATAAATAAATAAATATTTTAAAAAAACTGTAATCAATATGGCCAGCAATACCAAAACATACAAACATGAAAATACTAAAATAAATCTGTATATGTACATCTGTAAGTTATACACAACACAGTGAAATAGTAGAAACAATGCAAGTGCCCAAGAACGATGAATAAAAAATAAAATATAAAATATCATTCAGCAATTTAAAAAGAATGAAATGCTACTATATGTTTCAACACAGATGTACTTTGAAAATACCAGGCTAAGTAAGAAACCGGTGATGTGTACAGAAAACATTAATCTGTAGAGGTAAATGGATTAACAGTTGCCCACGGCTGGGGGGAGGATTACTGGAAAAAATTAGTTGACTGCTTAATGGGTATGGGATTTCTTCTTGGAGACAACAGATTTTCAAAACTGATTGAGTAATAGGTGTACACCACGCTGAACATATTAAACATCATTAAACTGTGTAGTTTAAATGGGTAATTTTATGGCATATTAATTGTATCGCAACAAAGCTATCAAGGTAAAAAAGATAAGACTAAATCTAAGATCTCAAAAAAAAAATCAATGACAAAATTTACACAGGGAAGACAAATGATTAAGAAGTAACAAAAGCATGCCATAATGTTCATTGTCTTATTCTTATAGCTTGCCAGAACAGGAGTGTACAGTTCACATGAACTTAACAAATGACTGAGGTTACTCCTAACAGGTATATACAGACCTCTCAATCAGTTCTTCACTAAGATAGTGGTTTTCAGAAAATAAAACTAAACTAAAAACAATCTCAGAAATCCTAAGAAAATGAAGGTGTTAAAATGACTCACTCATGGTCATTTTCTAACTTGATGACAAAATTAAAGTTTTGCTCTGTTACAAGTGGCACTAATACTCATCACAACATCATGCTGATGGCCCTTCCACAGCACTTCAAACTACATAAAGTGATTTTCTTTAGGTTATTGCTCCATCTTTCATCAATAAAGTGTATACTGTATCAAAGCAGGGACCACATCTATATAGTTTCATGCCCCCAGTGCTTATTAATTGCCCAGAATTAATGAAATCACTAGGCCACAACTCCTTTCTACAGCTTGTCTTACGAAAATCAAACTCACTTTGCTTATTTGTTAGAACGGCAAATAAATGGCAGGTCTGGTGACATTATCTTTTAGGTATCCCAATATATCTTCAAAATGTTCTAGGACAACTGCTCTACTCTTTTTGTTCTATTTAATGAGTTATTTGGAATTATAGCATAAATAAAAATTAAAACAAAATGACAATGAAATATAATAATCTAAGCATCATGACATATGGTCATCTACTGATTTAAATTGAGAATTCAGCACAAATTACAAGACAATCATGTAGGTTTTAGGATCGCCTGGGAAAGCTTTATTTAAAAAACAACAAATACAGTGGATGTCCTCTGTCTTAGGATGACTGATGGCAACTGTCTTGACAAAGGTGCTCTATACTCTTTCTGGTCTATCTCCCTTATACTCTTCAGTGCTTCTTTGAGTAGTTGTGTAAATCATTAATACTTTTATTATACATCCTAAATGAATGAGATTAAAAGATTTAGTAATTATTCTCTCAAAGAGTTATATAAATTTAAAAATGCTATGAATCATTATTCCTTTGCTATTAAATTTTCATTCTTTAGTATAATCACTCCTTTGGTATAATCCAGGAGGTCATATGTGTGGTACTAAGAAAACTGACAGCCTCACACATGTAATCAAGTATCCCATCAATGTGCCCTATGCCCCTTAATCCAAGTTTCTTTCTAGTATTCGTGAAAGGTTCAACTTATACTAGTCACGTGGTCCTTAGCACACATGTACCATGTCACTCTGTCAACGTTTTATACTTATATTTCTTTCGTCTGCACAGTTTTACTGCCACGTAGGTTGTATGTCTGTACTCCTAGAAGATAAAAATGTACCAAAAGCAGAATGCACAGCATCAAATTTGGAATTCAAGAATAACATTACGACTCCATTTTGTGGTCTATAAACAGATGCTTTACAACCTTAAATTAAGTAAATTAATTCTAGGTATGAGAGGTGAGGTTTAGCTATTAAGTCAGAATAAAACTCATTTTAAAATCTGTGTTTGTTTAGTTTGTGATAATGGCTACACACGAAGGCCAGAAATCAACCAGAAGCTAGCTGTTCCTCTCTTTTTGAGACAGTCTCTCAAGACCTGGATGTCACTGATTTGGTAAGGTGCCTAGCCAGTCTTATCTCAGCTTCCCCAATGCTGGATTACAAGCTGGTGCCAGCATGCCCAGCCTTTTCTATCAGTTTGGGAGACCAAACCCAGATCCTCATGCTTGCATGGCTAGTGTTTCACTAAATGAGCCGATTCTCCAGCTTAAAGCACACAGCTGGTAGGATGGCACGTGCCAGTTGTCCTAGCATTTGTGAGGAGGGAGCCAGAAGGATCAAAAGTTTGAGGCCAGCCTGCATTATAAATTTGAGTAAAAACATGCCCCTCCCTACTCAAAAGTCACAACAGTCTGCACTAAAAATTATTCCCAATACTCCAGGAATTATGATTAGTCATTTATATGACTACCTCCTCTGGACACACCTACTGGAAAATGATTCTGACTGTTTCTAAAAAAACATTGCAACATGGGAACATCATATACAGAATCAAATTAAGCTTTAAATAACACTGTCATTACTAATAAAAATAAATGGCTAGTTCTACTAACTGTTAGGGAAAGGTGGTATAAAAAGAGTAAGTTCACAATGCCTGCTGAATTTTTTTTGGCTTGGGAAGAACAATTTGATTTACTTAATTAACTTTTTTCTTCTGTTCTTTCCACTAATGCTTTGTTAAAGTAGTGTATCCCAGCTATTCAATGTAAACACTGTTCTTTCTATATACATCAATACTTTGACTACAAGCTGAACAGAAAGTTCATCTAAACATGTCAAAAGCAAACAAGCAGAATGACATGTCTGTGCATGTTTTTGAAGCTGAAAATCAAGCCTTATATCTATTAGTCAAGTGTTGTACTGAGCACACCCCACCTTCAGTGTTCTCTAACACACTACTAACTAATCAAGGGTTGTACTGAGCACACCCCACCTTCAGTGTTCTCTAACACACTACTAACTAATCAAGGGTTGTATTGAGCACACCCCACCTTCAGTGTTCTCTAACACACTACTAACTAATCAAGGGTTGTACTGAGCACACCCCACCTTCAGTGTTCTCTAACACACTACTAACTAATCAAGGGTTATTATACTGAGCACACCCCACCTTCAGTGCTCTCTAACACACTGAAATCAAATATTTCTTGGGGGCTTAGTTTTTACAGGAAAAATGCTTTTAATACTAAAATGTCCCAAAGCACTCCACTAATGTATTAGCTTAGATGTCAGAAGATAGTAAATGTATGTTTTTAGTTACGGAATCCTGAAAAGGAAAAGCCATAAATTTATATATGAATTATAGAGAACATACACATTTGTATGGTTGAAAATGAAAGGGAACAAGAGTACAACAGAACTGTGTCTTAAACAGACTTCAATGTGATTCCACTAAACACATCTGTGAATTAAACACACCTACCTATACAACACAAACTAACAGTCCATATTGGCATAGAATACTGCTATCTAACATCACAGTAATAATCTTGAATTTACTGTTCAAAAACACTTTTACCTTTTTGGGCTTTCATTGTCTGCTCTTCAATTTGCCTTAGACGCTCCATTAGTTCTTCCTTCTCACGCTCTATTCTTTCCTTTTCCTTTTCTGCTATTTCTCTTTTCTTCTTTTCATTCTCTAATTGTGCCCTTAAAGAAATTACAAGTTACACGTTACACATAAACAGATAGAAACAAATTAACAAGTTATTTGTATTAATCCCAAATTAAATAAAAAAAGAACATAACTATTTAAAATGTTTTCAATATATTCACCACATACAGTTCAGTATGTTCTACATACTAGCCGTGCACGGCACACATGGCAGCATGTGCTACAACCCAGAGCTGGGGATGGTAGAAGCAGGCAGGACCCTGGAACCTTGTCTATCAAGAATCTTCCCCAGCTGATCTCAACTTTTGACCTCCATGCTTATTTATGCATGTGTGTTTACATACACATATTACACACATTAACACACACTATTTTAAAACTTAAAACGAGTGTTCAAAGCCAATTTAGGCGGGAAAAAATTCAGTAGGTCTAGCATCTGCATACAGAACAAATTATATGTAACATCTCAATATAGCTTACTGCACCATTGCCATAACCCAAGGAAATTCATTTTTTGAGTTAGCAGAAGCCCTCTAACCGGGAAAAAAACTGAAGGTTTAAAGAGAACACGCAAGTACCTTTAACAGAAAAATATCTTGGAAGATCAACGATTTTCAATTATTAAAAATAACTCAATATGCCAGGTGGTGGTGATGCATGCCGTTACTCCCAGCACTCAGGAGGCAGAGACAAGTGGATCTCTGATTTCGAGACCAGCCTTATCAACAGCCCAAGTTCCAGGACAGGCTCCAAAACTACACAGAGAAGCCCCCCTTCAAAAAGTCAAAAAAATACAACAACAACAACAACAACAAAAAAAAAAAACCAAAACCAAACAATACACTTCTGGTACTAGCATTTACGCCAGAATATAAGATGACAGGTTACCTACCACCTCTCACAATCCCATTAGGATAGCAGAAGATATTTAATGCAGGTAAAAGGGGAAACAACGCCATGAAGATTTAATTGTATCTATCAGTCCTGATAAAATCACTGGGGATAAAGGAGTTAGGGAAATAATATAGTCAAAACCTGTCATCAGACAGCTAAGCAAGAGCCTATCTTGAACAAACTTCATGTTGGTGACCAAAACAAAAAGGATGAAGACATTAAACTGTGTTACTTCATATGTTTAATATTCAAATCACTACCTTCAATCATAGTATTTTTTCACTGAAGTGACTCCTCTAAAATTTCCTTAATATTCACAAAACAGTACTGACTGCCACCTAGTGTCAATTCTGGAACTTAGATACATCACTCAGACACATCACAAACTATTCTACCAAAGCAATTTTTCTTACTACAAAGGTCTGAATTTGGAAATTCCTGCAGATCGTGGGCATCAGTCTGTTCCCAAGAAAGAAAGTGTGGAACCCTGAAGGAGAAATGTCACAAGTCAGCAGGAGTTCCTGGCGGTGACTTTCTGAGACACCAACACTGACACGGGGTTGAAGGGTGACTAAGCCTCCTGCTGATTAATCAACTTCATCCCATTTAAGAATCAGAGACCTGGGGCTAGAGAGTTGGCCCAGTGGTTAAGAGCACTTGTTCTTGCAGAGGACTCAAGTTCAATTCCCAGCAACCATAGGGTAGGCCGCAACCATCTGTAAATCCTATTCCAGGGCACATGACACCCTCTTATGACCTCTGCAGTCACAAGCCACAAATGTCGTGCACACATACATGCAGACAAAACAGTCAATACATATTTAAAAAAAACAAATCATAGAAAAGTTATTTTTAAAGAACAAGGGAAAATATAAACAAATAAACAAACATAAATAAATGAAAAGGGGGAGGGCTGCTCCACTCTGGCTCTAGGTTCTCTATGATGTACTTCCTCAACACTCAGAACAAAGAGCCAACACCTATCTGCCCTTGGTTTCTGCAGCATTTGCCTCCTCATTTCAATTTATAAAGTATATTCAGGCAGAGACTTCAGAAGTTGGGAATTTCAACACCTCTAGAAAACCTAGATGAAGAGGCTTATGGGCAAATAGGCATATCCCGGGCTTTTTGGACAAAAGAAGGGCCTAAGATGTGCCTTAACTTAAAAAGCCTGCTGTCCCCTCAGGCTGTTCATTGAAGCAGAAGTACCAGTTTTCAAATAACTACTTTTCTACAGCATGTTGTCTCAACCCAGGGTGTTTGTTAGGCTACTCCATTGCTCATAGCCTCTGTACAGTCATGTACAGCACTACCCGGTCCTTCTCCTGCCAGGACACAAGATCCTTAATTCTTGAGGACTCAGTACAAAACAAGGCTCAAGACTGCAGGCTATAATACCCTATCCAAATGCTCAAAACTTTTTGGGTTGCACTCCAGTACCAATGTCCCTTCTAGGAAAGGGTATTGGCTTCATGTAGCTTTTCCCTATCGGTGTCTCACTGGCTCTTCTACAGGGATGAAGGTAAAGGAGGTAGGCACACAGAAAAAGAAAGATTCAAAGGAATATGGCTATAAGCAAGCTGGGAACAAACACTATTTACTGCTGAATCGTGGAATGTATCTATAGGAGACAGTTAATCCGGTTATGTGAAAACCCTCTGCAGCTGATGCTGCAGCACTGCTGAGATCCACGGCTCACATCTCCACAGGCCACACCCAGCCAACACCGCACCCAGCTCTGCACACCACACCTGACACCTGGGGTTGCTAGGTCTTTGTCTCAAACAACACTGGGAGATCTTCTTTGCACAGTGCTCCAAAGAATTAACCAGGTCCACTTACCAGTTGGTCCCTAGGCAAACCCTGCATACTCTTATCTCTCGCTACGCATTTGCTTATGCTAGCTTCCTCTTCTGAATATGTCTCCCACACCCTAACCAAATCAATCACATTTCCCCCAGGAAGCTTCTTGGGATTACTCATATTTCATATTATGTATTTTTCATTTAGAGTGTGGGTTTCTTTTTTTGAGTTTTTTGGGATGGGGTTGATTTTTGGTTTATTGAGACAGGATTTCTCTGTGTAGCTTTGGTCCCTGTCCTGAAACTAGCTCTTGTTGACCAGGATAGCCTTGAACTCACAGAGATCTGCCTGACTCTGTCTCTCAAGTGCTGGGAATAAAGGCATATGCCAGCAAGAGTATGAGTTTCTAAATACTCATTTTGACTTAGTTCTATTTTGAGGACATAAATATACTAAACTATAAAGTCTCTATACTGACATGTAAAATTAAATTATTTTAGAAATACCTTTCAGGCCCCTCACCTAAACTGTACACAAAGTCTGACATTAAAGTACACCAATAAAACTGAGCAGCCTGTAACTTTTAGATAGCCTGTCACAACAAGCAATTAAAAATGAACAGGTACTCCAAAGCTACATAGTGAAACCCTGTCTTCAAAGAACAAATAACAAAACAAAATTTGACAGGTACACATACATACCTTTCCAACTGCTTCTGGTGCTTTTCCTCCCGGGCCTGAGCCTTCATTTGCTGTACTTCAATAGTGTCAGGCTTTCTCCTTCGCATATACAGTTCATGGTTTCCCATACATAAGGCCAAAATCCGCTTATTGATTCTCAGACGAGGAGCATAGAAAACAAAATCCTGAATAGAAAATATTCTTAATTTTAAAATCTTTCTGAATGATAGTGTCTTTCACAACTACTCAATTTCAACAAGAGTAGAACTATGGTGTCACTGCACATGAACACAAGTTTAGGAACTCTGAAATTTCATACACCTTCATTCCTCACATCTTTTAACTCTGAAGAAACTACGAGCAGTTATCCTTACACTCCAGAGGAGGGTGTGTTTTGCCATTATTGTCAAAACTGGTCTTCCTCCATGGCTGTGTTTTAGCCTAGAAAAGTTCTTCAGATATTTATCTTTTAGATAACAAAAAGAACATTCAAGTATATGTCACACTAATTATTAAGAATCCATTTCAATAAAAGTATCCAATATTAAAAACAAAGTTCAGAATACAAGAATACAGAATTAATTTTCAAAGGCTTATCTCTATTACATTCTTGAAAGCAATAAATGCAGATTAAACTATTTCTTAGGAGTGACTGTTAATAGCCTTCTAATATCATTATCAATTAAATCATTAGATCACAGTTAAAATTCTTACAGTTTATTAAGAAAAATGGAAACTTTTTTTTTTCCTTTTTCTGGTTTTTTTGAGACAAAGTTTCTCTGTGTAGCCCTGTCTGTCCTGGAACTAGCTCTGTAGACCAGGCTGCCCTCGAACTCTGTAGACCATGCTGGTTTCGAACTGACAGAGATTGGCCTGCCTCCGCCTACTGAGTGCTGGGATTAAAGGTGTGTGCCACAACAGCCCAGGCATAAACTTAGTATTTTTAATAGCATTTCATCACTTTTCACTGAGTAAAATTTACCTATGGGAAGAGAATAACCTCAGAAATAACACAGGGTGATCAATGTCCGTCTCTCAGTAACTTCACAGAAAGTAGCAGAGAACGTTAATGAACAAAGAATACTTACAGGTGCCTTTTTGTCAATTGGCTTTATAACAAATTTTTTGTCATTAAATGAAATATTTCGGATTTCACTCCAGGGAAAACCAATTTTAGGTGTTAACCTTTAAAAAAAAAAAGAATATTGCTTTAAATTTAAGTCAGGAAACATAACAGTGGAAAATATAGAGCCCTCTGGGACAGGTTAAGTGAATGACCAGTCTTAAGAGCTTCTGATGCTCAGAACATATAATCTTCCTCACACTACACAGCTGATGCTAACTTTAAAGAGAAATGTAATTAACTCACATAAAATAACAACCATTCAGGCTTTCATACATGTGTCATTTTCTTAAAATTACACAGAAAAATTCAGTAAACAAGAGTATTGGACTGAGCCTCTTCAGGCTTGAATTTCTTCATTTACTTTTTATTATGTCGAGTCTTAAATTACAAGTATCAGCTTGGTAGGGAAAGTAATTAAAAATGTCATGTGGAATACAGACATAAAGTACTGAATTTCAGTAAAGCTTGAAGACTTTGATATGTGAACAAAAATATTTGTAAAAACAAGGAAAACCACTCCCATTTTCTTTCTATTTCTTCCCCTGTGCCCCATACCTCTGTCTGTGTTTTTGTCACTGTATAGACCTGGCAGGTCCAGGATGTACATTCCTCCTGCCTCAGCACCCAAGGACCAGAATTCAAAATGTGAGCCACTATGCCTACCAATGTCACCCCATTCTGCCACCCTATCTATAAACATACCGGGAATCAGACTGCAATCACTCTTATTATGACAACAAAAGTAACCGACACATACACAGGTCATTTTAGTCAGGTTCCTGATAAGAGAACAAGATTTTCTACTATTTATGCTACTTTTAAAGTCTAACAAGCACTAAGCATAGCTACTTATTTAAACACTCATAATCAATACGCATGTTATTCTGCTCACTAATGTCCAATGAGATAAATCAGCATGACCTACTTTAATAGGGGGCTATAAAATCATGTCTGGGGTGGGAAGGATTACTAACACAGACTTATTCTTTTAAAAAAATTTATTATTATTGGTTATGTATGTACCTGTGCACATGACTACAAATACCCCTCAGAGACCAAATGAATCCATTCTCCCTAGACCTGGAGTTAAAGTTGTGAGCCTTGAGACACGGGTATTAGGAATCAAGCTCACGTCCTCTTTAAGAGTGGGATATGCTCTCAATTGCTGAGTCATCTCTCCAGCCCTAAGTTTTTATACATGAGAAAGGATTATGAGAGTGATATATTCAAACTGTATTATATATTTACATCATACATTTATAGTATATATATTTAGTATTAACATACATTAATTATATATTTGTATATTAATACTATAAGGTCATGATGTATCATATATAATATGAACTGTGTACATAAAAAAATTGATTTGATCAAATTCAAGATATTATATTAGTTACTATGAATAACATAAGGATAATATATTAAATTACTATTTAAAATATGCAAAACAATTCCTATAAGAAAATGTTTAAACACATCTATCAATTTATTTGCTCTTGACTTATGTATGTTATCTATTTGAAGCTACTATCAACTACAGCAACATTCAGGGACTCTCTTACTGAGGCAATAGATTTTACTTATTACTGCATTTCACCCAAGAGACAAAAGCAGCACATTTAAATACAGGTGACCCTCTAATTTAATAAACTGACTCAGAAGTAAAACTCAGAAACTACAAGGTACTAGGAAGTAGAGAGATGATACCTAAACCTCAATGTAGAAAGCAATAAGGACAATCAAGACAGCTTTTCCCAGCAGAGATGTTTGAAAGCCATTGGATCACAGAACGACCAGCTCACTAAACACCCATTTAACTTACTTGTCATCATGCTCATAAATATTCAGACCCAAAGCATCAACACCCAGCCACAACTCAGTGCCCTTCTTATTCTTGATTTCAAAGTAGTTGACACCATACATCTCTAGATCTTGCGCAATCTTCAAGTATTCCATCATCGAATCTTCCCTATTAAAATACAGCTGAATTTAATACACTGAAGTAGACACATTGAAACATCAAACTAAAACTAATGAAGCTAATATTCAGTGCTTTTTATTTATTTATGTACATCAAAAGATGGGAAGCATAACCTGAGATGAAGGTGGCAGGTGGTGTGAGTGCGTGTGAGAGTGTGTGTGTGTGTGTGTGTGTGTGTGTGTGTGTGTAGGGGCCCATGAACCACAGTGGCATGTGTGCAGGCTGTGTCAGAGTCAGTATTCTGTTGAATACTGAAGTTGTAGATGTTACCAGGGAAGCTCAAACAGTTTCAGATAGCTTAAATTACTTTAAATAATTCATGCTTTAAAGTGAGTATTATATAGTTTACAAGAGCCCAAGTGTTTCTAAAGAATCATACTTTAGACTGAAAAAAACAGCTATCTCATTATTAACAGAAAATTAAGGAATAGATAAGAAAATAGAATTCTTGAGTTCCGATTATCCCTTTATACTCCCTAGTTACTATTTTTGTGACTAAATTTAACACTGTCATTTTATGTAGATAATACTTTTCATGGGGGGGAGGGGGGGGGAAGAAACCCTCAGAAGATGGTTCTTTCCCACCATGTGGGTTCTCGAGATTCAACTCAGGTCATCAAGTGAGGCAGAGGCTTTAGGCATCTTGCCAGACCAAGAAGATTTTGAATGAGATAAAAATGCTTTAACTTGGAAAGAAACGTATAGAAAACCGTTACCCAGATACCTTAGCATTCCTCTGTGTTCCTCATGCCAGTTTTGTATTCTCTCCTCCCACTGTTCTTTTGTCAGTTTGTGTTGTTCCAAAACACTAAAAAGGAAAACAATGTAGTTAATGACTTCGTGATTCACAAATCAAGGTCTTCTCAACGTCTACAGTCCTTTCGTAACTGCACTGTGACGACACTGCCACACGAGCCAACGCACAGGTTAAAACTGCAGAGAACTAAACAACTGAGGATACAAACATGGACCAGACAAGGATGGACGGCGTCACAGTCAGCATCCTGGCTCAATAGTGGAGCCACGGAAGAGGTTACCAGGGAAAGCTAAGACAAAGTTTCAAACAGCTTCAATTACTTTAAATAAGCCATGCATTAGAATGGGTATTATATAGTTTACGACAACTCAAATGTTAAACGAATCATATCCTGGACTGCAAAAAATGACTACCTCATTACTCACAGAAAATTAAGGACAGACAGTAAAACAATTCTTGGGTCCTGATTATCCCTTAATTCTCCATATCTACTATTTTTGTGACTAAATTCAATGCTGTCATTTCATGTAGATAATACTTTTTTATTAAAAAAGAAAACATACATTAAGCTGAGCATGGTGGTAAACACCTACAATCCCAGTACTTAAGGAACTGAGGCAGGCCAACTCTGAATTTGAAGTCAATGTGGGCTACACAATGTGCTCAAGACCATTTGTACTCCACACTAAACCTTACGCCAGCACAAGAAAGAAGGCATACTTCACATCACATGATCCAGCCATTCACTTCTCCTCTAGTGGAGTCTGTCAATGTTCTTGCTCCACTGAAAACCAAAAGTATTCATATTTTCTACTCTTAATGCCAAAGCAACAAAAAATATACTTATACTAGAAACACCATAGACTCTGACTAGAATTCTCTTTAGACCACAGAATAATTAACAACTTTTGTTTATGATGGATCCTAAGAGATTACAAATCTAAAGTAGTATAACGAGCAAACACCGGATTAGATTCAGTTCCCAACCGTCATTCTGCAGTCATTTGTTTCCCACGCAGTGTTGCTTTGAGTGTTGGACTACACTACACACCAAACCAAAACTTCATTCTGTGGAAGAAACGGTTCATGCCACTTACTATTCTCACAGTATTTATTATGCATCTACCTATGTGTGTTTCAATGTAGAAATAAACAAACAAAAATTCCTATCCTGACATCAAGACCAAATAGTAACCTCCTTTAGCTGCACATCCCACAGAAGAACAGTAGACAGTAGAACAGATAATAAATCTGTGTGGTGACTAAGCCAAAATCTTTAAAACCTAGTCTACCATCTTCTGGCAACTTATAAGTCTTTTTAAGAAGCTGAGCGGTGGTGGCACACTCCTTTAATCCCGGGAGGCAGAGGCTGATTTTTTAAAGAAATTTCAACAATGCTTCTGGAAAATAACTTTAGAAAATATTTTTTTAATTTACTTACCGCTGTGGTAGGAGTCTGTCATTAGCCAGGTATCCTGGTTTGTGAATCTCTTTATTATAATCTCCATATTTGGCTTGGACAGCATACGAAGCCAAAAGAACTGCAGTTTCTGGTGGGCAATATATCTCATCATTTAAGATGGCTTCTTTAACTTGCAAGAAGAAAAGTCTCTGTGTTATTTCTTGAATCAATTCCTCAGAAACATCTTCAGGAAAGAATTTAGCTCTAAACTTGAACTGTAAAGGATTTTCTTTTTTAACATCTTGCTGTGTCACCTAAAACAGTAATTTCAAGTATAATCAACAAAACTTTTAAGTCACTGTAAATGAATATATTTACATCAAACTCTTTTTTGACGAAGTAGATAGCAATGTTATACATAAGTCTGTAAACAAACACATGTGCTAAAGAGGCTTTTGTGTGTAGTCCTGAGGCTGCCAGCAGCTCTGGAAGCCCAGTCAACAATCAGAACTAAAACTTTTGTGTGCCGGACCTTATCCTGAAAACGTTTACAGCTGCATGTTTGATTTTAACGCATATTAACACCCGTCTCAAGGTTCTATTTCTCACAAGCTCAGTTCTCACAGAATATGTTTAGTAATATTGATGGTGCTCCAATGAACTAAAAGGCGTAAGTAATAATCAATTAAGAGGCAACTGCAAAAGGAAGCCTGGACTTAGTGAGATCCTGCTAATGCCTTTTCAGCACAGATTAATAAACGCATCAAATTAATCAGTATACACGGCTTACCTTTTTATTCAGTTTAAGCCATGTAGAGTATCCTTTGCTGTCTACATACTGCAGCCCAAAAAACCAGACCTCACGTAAACCAACTGTTTTTACAACCTGTAAAACAGATAAATTCAGTTCAACATTCACACTGTGATCAGATGACCCTCAACACTACAGATCACAAGAACAAAACTACGTAAGTAGAAGTGCCACAGAAAAGGACTTTTCTTTAACACACTCTTTACTTTCTGACATGTTCAAAAAACATTTCTGAAAACATCAATTCAAGTTCTTTATTCTCAATCCTGTTATGTCTCTTCTATCTTCATCCTTGACTTAAGTGTTTTCTATCTTCACTTCCTTAGCTCACATCACAGCCTCAATAACCAAAAGAACAGCCTAAAGGAGAGAAGCACAGATGTGGTCAGCCTATAATCCTATCTGATTCCCTCCAAGTGTCCCACCAGTAACTAGAGCAAAGCACATCACTCTGGTGACAGAGTCTGGTGTCTTCAATATTCTACCTTCACTGAAACAATTTTTGGACCATTCTACATCATTGCTCATGCTTTCCCTTCTGCCTAGACTTCTGCATCTTTATCATCCACTGATTATTCTTTAAGTCCCAGATCAACTAACATTCTTTCTGTGAATAAATCTCTTCCATCATAGAAATGAAATTAATCACCTGTTCCCTAATCAACTGGGGTATAGTGTGTCTTCTTATGTGTCTTAACGCTTTGTCTTAGCACTCAAGGACAGAGTGAAATCTATGTCTTCTGATAGAATGACTAAAGTTCCCAGGAAAAAGTCACATACATTATACTGAAGATTCCACAAGACACAGCACGGAAATTCTACAAGACTAGCGGAGAGCTGAATGTTACAGGTGCATACATTATCCTGTTATCTTTAGTCTTCGTGACTGTCATTCATCGTGCACTTTGACTTAACATCCTTTCAACTATCTAGTTTAAAAAACAAAATCCTTTAGACTCCAGTGTAGCAGATCACCAGTTTCTACTAACCCTAAACTAAGAATGTCATCACATAACATCTGAAATATACACCAACGTTTTCCCCCATCTCTCTGCTGTCCCCACTAGTGTGGTGAATGCCCTATGCTTCTTCCTGGTTCCGTGACTATAAGAGTCCATGGAACCACTTACACAGGGGTCCAGCGAAAGCAACCTGTGTACATGTTTCTAAAGGGCTCAAAATAAACTTATACCCTTTGAGGTGAGAGATGTGTTGCATATGAACACTGATCTGTGATAAGCACTCTAAAAACTGGAATAAAGAGACAGAACTAGAATGCACGCCAGGATACATTATTCTTTAAAAAAAAAAACACCTGTATTTAAAATAAAATGAGGAGAGTTAGGAGGTGACATGAAATTTAAAACCCTTATAAAAGAATTAATTTGGGGCTGGAGAGATGGCTCAGAGGTTAAGAGCATTGCCTCCTCTCCCAAAGGTCCCGAGTTCAATTCCCGGCAACCACATGATGGCTCACAACCATCTGTAATGGGGTCTGGTGCTCTCTTCTGGCCTGCAGGCATACACACAGACAGAATATTGTATACATAATAAATAAATAATTATTTTTTAAAAAGAATTAATTTCATTTAAGTGGTAAGCACTTTTGGCTAATTAAACAATTTTTTGATTTATTAATTTCATTTTACATGTGGGTGTTTTGCCTGCATCTGTCTTTACAACACAAGTGTGTTGATGCCACAGAGGTCAGAAGAAACCCTCCAACCCCCTGGAACTGGAATACAGATAGTTGTAAACAACCATGTGGGTCCTGGGAGTCAAACTTGGGTCCTCTGTCAGAGCAACAAGCTCTCTTAACCACTCTTAAGCCATCTTTGCAGTTTGGCTAATTTTTTAAAGAAGACTTGTTTTCAAGACAGCAAACCAACTCAGCTTACTTTCCTTTACTTGAAAATTTTAACTTAAATAATACAAATAGAAAATAAGAAAAAAATCACTTAAAAATATTTAAAAAGCAGAAATTTCTGGGGGCAGGGTGGGTGGAATACAAATACAAAGACTCATACTAATGATGCAAAAACAAACCAGTACCAAACAATGAAAAATGCTAACTGAACTCTGACAGAGAGAAGGTGATGGTAATACTGTCAATATGAGAGTCTACTATCACCTTGGAGACAAACTTTGCCTGTGCTTACAAGAGATTATCTGGATTAGTTAACTTTAGTGCTAAGACTCACCCTGGATGTGAGCTCAAGGCCAATACCATGCCACAACCAGAGATATGAACTCAACAACAACGAAAAGATCTGAAACCAGGCATTCATCACTCACTGCTTCCTAACTGTGGGTGTGATGTGACCTGCTGCCTCCAGTTCCAGCTGCCTTGCTTTCCTCACTGGGATGGACTGGATGGATCTAAACACTGAGCAACACTAAGCCTTCCCTCTTTAAGCTGCATTTGTAAAGTTATTTTCTCACAGCAACAACACAAGCAACTGACTCAAAGTGCAGAAAACATTCAATGCTGACTTAACAGAAAGGGCATGAGGACCACTCAGAAGGTACTACAGAGGACACAGGTAGGTAATTGTCACAACAAACACAATCATCCAGAGAGCTCAGCTGGGAAATTCTAAAATACGCCCAAGCTCCCTAGTGGCTCTCATCTTCCCCTGCAAATAAGAACTGACAGACACATTACTGCAGTACAAGTCTGTTCACAAATATGCTAGTAAACAGAAAAACAAAAAACACAAATATTTCACTATTGAACCCTAAGAAATCTTCTTGCATACTCATTAAGTACATGAATTCTATTCTTTGGTCCAACATGGAGAAGCTAGGAAAAACGGTTATTCAACAAAGAGTCAAACAAAAGGACTCCTATGCCTGACATAGTAGTTGGCCTCAATCTAACATTTCAATAAAAAGTAAGACACTGCCACCTTTTAAGGACCGACCCCAGGGTAAAGACTGTAGGGAAGGGAAGTGACAAGGAAAATAGTAATGACACACTTTTGCACTGTGGGGATACATGTTAATATCAGCTAAGACCCTAACCCATCCACACACTGTAGACACTGAAAAACCATAAAAGGATTATGCAGGTACTATATACTTCGGTGTAAAGACTCAACATTCTACAAATGTGACACTAATTCTGAACTGCCTATAATGGGATTTATTTTAAGATTCTTATTTAAATCAGCAAATTCTGGTTTTAAAAGAGTGAGGCTCTGTTACATGCACACATGTGAAGTTATGAGAAGAAGGCCATATCTGCTCCTAGCCTTACCTGAACCTTTCCACTGGCCATTCTACATACTCGCTACAGTCAAGGTTTGTGGTATTCAGGCTCAAGGACATTGTTAAGAAACAGAACTTAAGGATTGCTGAAAGAACAGCAGGTAGCAATTTCAATAACCTAGACCAACATTCAGGACGTGAATGCATAGACGCAATCACCAACACCCATGATCTGAGTCATTTGTGGAATCTTATGAAGAGAAGTAGAAGCTGAGTATCAAAGCCAGGGAGAGCTGAGGCAACAATGTCTCACTATAGGTGTACACTGCATGAAGTTTAAATTATATTAATGGTATCTATTCATTTATCATGCCTTTATGGTAAAACCTTCTCTTGAGCCCAAATATAACATGTATGCTAACAACAAAGAACAATGCTCAGGCACTAGTTCTCTCCTTCTACTACATGAGTTACGGGGGTTCAATTAGGCTATTGGGCTTGGCAGCATATCTGAGCATCTTGCCGGCCCCTTTAATGCTTTTGTGTTTTTGAAAATACACTAAAGACTTATCCGATGAAAGTAGAAATAAAAATACATAAATATCCCTACAGTTATTCAAACAACCTGAATATATATGGTTAAAACTTCCAAGCACTACATTGTTGAATTATCAAGGATATTGGAAATATACGATGCATGCAATAGCATGCACACAATAATTATCTAAGTTGCATCTTTTGGGATCAGAGAGATAGCTCAATGGTTAACAGTGCTTGCTGTTGAAGTATCAGGACCTGATGAGTTCAGGTTCTAGTCTCCATGTTAACAAGCTGGACTTGGCCATTCACACCTGTAACACCAATACTGTGATGGGTAGAACCAGGACTGCTGTGGCTTGTTGACCCACTAGCCTGAGTCCAGATTCAGTGACAGATGTCTCAATAAAATAAAGCAGAGGATAATTTGATTTTATCTGGCCTCTGCATGTACACACCACCAAGGACATACATATATAAACCACACACAGACTTGCATGCTTTGTGGGATTAATGATACCTGGTCAAAAAGCTGTTTGCCAGTTGTATTGGGCTGAATAGCAAATTCTAGCTCAGCATCCATTGTAGTTACCCGTACATTGATCTGTAATAAAACCAAGAAAGATAGTGATTAGTAAAGTGAATATATTCACAATGTAGTAAGTATGAGAATATTCTTGGAGTTCTAGTATTTGTGTGTCTGGGAATCAAATCCAAGGCTTTGTGCATCTATGCAAATCTCTACCACTAAGCAACATCTCTAGCCCTTGGGTTTTGAGATTAAGTCTTGCTATATAACTCAAACTTGGCCTACTTGCAGTGTTCATGCCTGCCCCATCAGCCTCCTCATTGATGGGATTATAGGGATATATATATATATATGTATGATTAAAAAACCTGGGGTAGGTAGGAGGTACTGAAAAATGAAGCCCTCATGCATGACAGGCAAGTCTCTGCAATTGATCTCCATACATCCCATCATTAATATTTTACTAAAAGTGACACAGTTTGATTCTTACTACAGGAAATCGAAAGGAAGGAAGGAAGGAAGGAAGGAAGGAAGGAAGGAAGGAAGGTGGTTGGTTTACAAATACCTCATTCAAAGTAACTAGTTACCAAGATGAGCCTGATGCCAGGCTTGATGACTCAATTAATCCCTGAAACCCACAGCACAGACAAAGAGAACCAAGGACACATGGGTATTAAACAGCAGAGAAGGTATTCAAACTGAATGCAACTCTTGAGTCTTTTAATGTCATCCACTATCCCATATTTCTTCATTTTAAAGTGTATGTATGAAAATGCCACAAAAACCTGTTTCTTTTCATAACACATGGTAAAATGAACAACCTGCTCTGAGAGTCCAGTGAAGACAGTGATCTTGAAGAAAATAAATGACAACAAATGGGGAAAGAGGAACCTCTTTCACTGCTGGTGAGGCCACAGTGGAAACCTGTAAGGATGTTCCTCAAAAAGCCAAAAATATACTGTATGGTCCAGCTCTATCACTCTTGGGCCTACACAACTAAGATCCCAAACTGACACATCAGAGACACTTGTACATCCATGTCGGATGCTATACAATAGGCAGAAAATGGAATCCATTTAGGTATCTTTTAACAAATAAGTGGAAACTCTCCAAAAATGTGGTAGCTATACACAATGGCATTTTATGCAGCAGTGAAGAAAAATGAAAAATGAAATAAGACAACTATAGGAAAATGGATATAACTGGAAATCATTACACTGAACAGTCAGTCTCAGAAATACACTAAAAGGAAAAAACAGTAATGTAGTTAACGACTTCATGATTCACAAATCAAGGTCTTCTCAACGTCTACAGTCCTTTCGTAACTGCACTGTGACGACACTGCCACATGAGCCAACGCACAGGTTAAAACTGCAGAGAACTAAACAACTGAGGATACAAACATGGACCAGACAAGGATGGACGGCGTCACAGTCAGCATCCTGGCTCAATAGTGGAGCCACAGAAGAGGTTACCAGGGAAAGCTAAGACAAAGTTTCAAACAGCTTCAATTACTTTAAATAAGCCATGCATTAGAATGGGTATTATATAGTTACGACAACTCAAATGTTAAACGAATCATATCCTGGACTGCAAAAAATGACTAACTCATTACTCATAGAAAATTAAGGACAGACAGCAAAACAATTCTTGGGTCCCTTAATTTTCCATATCTACTATTTTTGTACAAAATGCCCTTCATATCTACTATTTTTGTACAAAATGCAAAACCTAGATTTTAGGGGAGGGGGATAGTGAGAGACGGAGGGAAGACAATGGTGTGTGTGTGTGTGTGTGTTGAACAAGAGAGATCAAACTAGAAAGCAGATAATGAGAAAAGAAAAAGAGACTTTAGGTGGGGGTAGGATGGGGAATACATATCCTAAGGAAGAAGAGGGGACTGACTGACTGGGTGAGAGACAGGGAAAGGGCAGATGGGAAGGAGAATCAAATACAACACAAATAATAAAGGTGTAATGAAAAGACCATTATCGTTTTAATGTCAACAGTCTAGCATGAAACAGGGTAAGGCTCAGGAGCCTCCATCCCTAACTCATGAGCTACTGACAATCAATGGCTTCTCTAAGAAGGGCCTGTTTTCTTTATGAGTGTGGCCCATGGGGGGGTTGGCTATGATACAATGGTAGTCCAGGCACAAACTGGACTTGGCAGATTACTAAAAAAACTAAAAAAAAGAAGGCAGGAAATTAGAAAGGGAGAAAGAAGGCAGGGTGATTCTGGAAAGAATTAGAAGTTGAAGTGGGGTGTGTGAATATGATCAAAATACACCGTATGAAAGTATCAAAGTGTATTTACAATAGAAAGATGCACACTGTGTTTCTGTGTGCTGGTGTATGGTGCAGGTGACAACAGGGTCCAGAAGAGAGTGTCAGATCCCCTGAAGCTGGAGTTTGAGGCGACTGTAAACTGTCCAGCATGGATGCTGTGAACTACACTCAGGTGCAAGAGCAGTATGCATTCTTAACTACTGAGCCATCTGTCTAGCCCCTAGATATTTAATGTGCTGACAACACATAGAACTAATCTTCAACTAATATATAAAATTGAATTATAATTTTATTATAATTTAAAAGGTCATCTAAACAAGGTGTTTTTCAGTCTACATAACAAAATAAACATAAACATAACAAAATAAACATAAAAAAACAAAACATAACCTAAGTCATTCCCCACTACCTAAAAAACAAAATACTAATAAATTTCCCCCAGTTTACATTTTAATATAAAAGCTGCTTAAAAAATAAGCACAAATTTTTTTCAAAACATAAATTCAAAATTTCTTAAAAATCACTAAAACTCCCTCCCAATATAGTCATACAAGTTGTGTTTTCATTTCCACACCTCCACTCTAATATAAAAAATAATTTGTCAGGGCTAATCCCTGACATTGATAAGTAACAAATTAATATCATTTATAAGACAAACTACACTTTCCAAAGTAGTAATAAAGTTTCGTGTTCCTGCTAAAATTAGACTGCAGAGTAGCAGATGTTCCTTTCTTGTTTTTAATCCAGCTAAGTTTTCCATGCTTCTTTTTAATTTCTTTAGTAATCTTTCCCTACCCAAGAAGAATGCTAGGATTCAAATGATTAGAACTGAATTAAATCTACTGATACATTCAGAGGACACTGACATCTTAAGAATGCTTTCTAATTAAGTCTCCATACATTGTGTATTTCTCCACAGTTAGATTATGCGACGTTTTCAGTGCCAGTGCCACCTCTATATTTATCCCTAAGTATTTTGTTTCTGATGCTATTAACATTCATTTTAAACTCTGATTCCAACCTATGAAATTTTTCATGTTTTAAAACTGTAACTCTGGGGTGGGGAGATTGTTCAGCACTTACGAGTACTTGCTGTGCAGGAAGGAAGATCTGAGCTTAAATCCCCAGACACCATATGTGAGAAAGATGAGTATGGCTAGCCTACACTTACAAGCCCAGAGCTATGGGGGAAGATATCCTCTTTAAGATCTCCACCAGTTAGGTCCAGCTTCAGTCAAAGACTGGTCTCTGAAGGTATGTGTGCGTGCACACAGTTTTGCTTCTTTCTGATTTGTACACCTTATTCTTAACCTTCTTTTGCATCAAAGTCATTCCACGGTGATATTCATAATAGAAAATTCTAATAACCAACAATTTTCTTTAAAAATTTAATTGGTCAGTAATGGTGCCACATTTGTTTTCTTTTAATTATATATATAATATATGTATACATGGATTTATGCACATGAATGCTGCTTGGTTCCTATACAAGCCAGAGATATCAAATCCTCTTGCAACCAGAGTTAGAGGAGGTTATGAGCCCCTGACATAGGTGTTGTAATAAAACACTGATCCTCTGTAATAACAAATGTTCTCTTAACCACTCTGAGCCATCTCTCACCTGTATTATCTCAATCCCAAGACTCAGGACACTGACGGAGGAAAATTATGAACTCAAGGCTACCTAGAGTTATACACAAACACACTGATAGCTAAAAATAACATTGAAGAAAATACCCTGTTTTATTTCCCTAAATCAAAGGAGTGGATCTTAGTCAAGAAACTTCCAATAGAAAGAAATTAACCTAGGTATACAAACCTAGGCTGTCGTTCAAGTTCTAAATAGAAGAAAGTTAAAAAGAATGGCTCCTTCACACTGCCACTATTTTCTCCTGACAATGGGCTAAATTTATTGAGCACTAAATGCATGCTAGATTCTTATAATCATTGTCTCCTTCCTTGAGCAAATGAAATTATAGCCCTATTTTATAAAAAGGAAATCAAGAGCAAAATGGATTAAACAAAAGTCATACAGATTAACTATGAAAGCAAGGATAGAACTTTTTTTGACAGCTTGGCCCCAAATTTCATTAATGTTAACCTTAATAGTACTGTCTCTCACCCATGATTATCTTCACAACCCACAGAATGCTAAGCATTATCAAGAGAAACAAAATAAACTTACTGGTTTCGGCATTTTCCTTCTCTTGTCTGTTACCTTCTTCAGAAACTCTTCAGTTCTATAAACTATTATCGCCTGTTAAGAAAAAAAGCACACTTTATGATCTTCCACATTAGGGTTCAGCTGCACCTTATACAAAAAGGAAAAGTAGACTACTTTAAAATCAGGTTAGTTCTCTGACGCTCATGTTCACCATCTTCAGCTAGCATTTCACATTCCCTAATAAGACTGGTATATGGTACAGGAAGCAGCGCATGTCTCAAATAGCATAGCATAAAGTATGTTATCTATTAAAACAGCAAGAAAATGTGATTTCTAAGGACCAAAGACTGACTCTCATACAATTTCATCCACAAACCCAGCCTTGTATGGAAAGGAACAGTAAAAATGAAGATAGGCAGACTCAAGTGCTAAGGAAAAATTAGGAATATTTTTCAACCTTTCTTCTGTATTGTCAGATACAAAAAATGCTGATCAAATTGTCTTCCTTAAAAAGGAGTTTTCTTTTTGAAATTCTAAAACCTCAGGAAAGTACACAATAGCTTATTCCCCTAAGGTGTGGACGGCAGCCACAGTTCTGCAAAGCAACACCCATGCCAGTCCCCAGCTAGCCAGGGGCCTCCATAGCAAATGCTGATGTGTAAGTTCTCTAAGTAAGAAAGGGCCATCACAGGGGAAACATTCTTACTAAGAAACACCAACATCGATGAGTTTGCCTTTCTGAGAAATCTGTCATTATCAGCTCTCTAGGAAAAGAGATTCTAGCTCCAAATCTTCCTCTGACTAATGCTGTATCAGAGACACTGCAGATAAACTTATGTAGAGCCTACCACTGCCAAGATATATGTACGCACAGCTGAATTAACACATTCAAATAAGGTCATTTCCCTGAATTTTATTCAAGCACATGCTAATAAATGTCTATATACAGAAACTTCCTTTAGAGCTTTGTGGGTTGTGCTTTTTTTTAAATGAGTCACTGGGCAGTGACATTCAGGAGGAAACATAAAACACTCATTCCTCAACTTTTTGTACCCTATTCCCTATCCCCTTCCCCCCCCCCCCCACACACACACATTCGCAGTCTGCAGACCAAAATTTCTCCAACACTTCCATCCTTACTTCCCCTGGTTCAGGTATTATAAACAGGTCTTGATTCTAACAGCTTCCTTCCGTGGTGGTGTGAACCTGTTACCCAGCACTGGAATCCCAAGCAGGGCAGTGTTCTGGGCCAAAGTGGAATACATAGTTAAGTTTGAGGCCAGCCTGGGTTACATTATGCACAAAAATAAAATAAGTTTCAAAACTGGTTTGCTTTTACTGCTCAGAATCCTAAAATCTCCGCTTCCACAATCAACAGCCATAGGGTTCTCAACTATAAAATGGCCCAAAACTTAAACCCCTACACCAGTGCCAAATTTGCTTTCCATCAAGTTTGGGTCAATTATGCATTTCCAGAAACATAGTCATTGTGCTTGCTCATGATTATTTTTGTTAGATGTAAAACTATGACTCTCTTTAAATTCTTAAATACTATGAGGTTTTGCCTATCCCCGCCCCCCAGATTAATTCTGGCAGTTCACTTTGGTTACTGAACTTAAAAGAAAAAAAAATCACTTCTCAGTTTTAATTATTCATCTTTCACTTTTGTTAATTTCTATTAGTTCCCAATGTTTTCTTGTACTTTCTCTTACTCTGGACCATTTTGTGCACTCTAGAACACAAAGTAATTTCCAGACTTTATTCCACTAACTTATGCCTTAAGGTCATAAACTAAATATATCCAAGTTTAAGGGCAACTCTAAAGTAATTTCACTAACAGACCACTCTGGATATAAAAATTTCTTTTATCACTTGGCTATTAAACTTCATCTATAACATTTAGAGGCATTCATAAATGTTTAAAACATGATCTATAAAGTTCGCTTCTTTCACAGTTCACAGAACAATTCACTGCTCTTATATATATGCAAGAAAGTCTATCAAAACTTTTCTTTTGGATCAAAATAGTTTTTAAGATTATAATAACACCACTTTTTCACGTGTATTGTGATGTACATGCATGAGTATATATGCTCACATGTATGTGAGTACTTGTTGTAACCAGTGGCTTATGTCAGGTGCCTCCATTTTACATACTGAAGCAGGGTCTGTTAGTTGGACTCAGAACTCACCCATTCAGCTAGTATAGTTGGCAAAGCTTATCCTGAGGTCCCAGCGCCCATGCTGTGGGGTTACAAGTGAATCAACACACCTGCCCAGAGTTTCCATAGACCTAGGGAGTCAAATTCTGGCCCTCACATTTGTGCAGCAAGTAACTTTACCCACAGCCATACCTCAGCTCAGCATTAGCAATGTAAAGAAAATGTACTGTTCTATCACTCAAATTCTGCTCCCAAGCCACAAGTATGCATCATGATACACACACCCCATTTGTACTACGGTAATAATAAATCTACACTGCAATTACTAGAGGTTTTAAATTTTAAGGTTATTTTGGGGTTTTTTTTTGTTTTTTTTTGTTTTTTTTTTTTTTTTAAATCAAATCTGTTCTGGATTTCTTTTCTTTTTTCCTGGTTTTTGAAGACAGAGTTTCTCTTTGTATTGCTTGCTGTCCTGAAACTCGCTTTGTAGACCAGGCTGGCCTTGAACTCAGAGATTCACCTGTCTCTGCCTCCCAAATGCTGGGATTATAAAGACGTGCAACACCACGCCCAACTTTTCTGCTCTGGGTTTCTTTACCTATTTCTTATAGTTAAGTCACTTATAGAAAAACTATATGAGCATTCTAAGCACATCTGAATTAAAGGAGTTTCAAGTCAAATACAACTTTCATGTTCAAAATGAAAAGGCAGCATCTCGCAATGGAAGGTCCAAGGACACAATGTTTCTTTCCCCTTTTCTGAAGATTATCCTGAGAGGGGAAAAATATTTCTCATACACTTGAAGCTATACCGTTTTTAAAGGCTGAAAGGTCATAGGGATTTTCATTTGCTGTGGGTGGTTTTGGTTTTTAGATTTTTCAGGCACGTTCTAACTCTTTGTCCACAATGGCCTGGAACTTACTATACTGCCCAGGCTGTTCTCAAAATTCTCAATCACCCTCCTGCCCTCAACATGCCTGGATGGCTTTGATTTTTGTATGTACTTCTCTCATCCATTATTAAGACCTAAACGTTCAGTTTCAAACCATGATTTCTAATCACTATTTAAAAATGATTTGTTAGTTTTTCCATTTTTAATTTTCAAATGCAAGAGTTTTATGTCTATAGGCAAAATGCTAATTTTATGTTGTTTCTGTATTTGTTTCAATATTTAAACACTTTAGTGCAGGGTCAGGCAGTGACTTGTTCCAGATATAAACAAAAATACTATATGATATATGTTGGGTAATATGTTAGATCAAGTTAAGCCAAGTTTTTAATTTTTAAATCTTTCATTCTATTCATTTTAGTCTACTTAACCAATTCAACAAATACATTAAGCTTTCCCAAATGACTTCTGATAAAATGTCAGTTTTTTACTTCCATGAATTTTTAGGTTGGTATCAGATAAGCAGTTCTGGAACGGTTAAACCTCCAGTGAAGGGGTCTCTCCCCATATAGTAACATACAGAGTCATGTGTGGACCGTGCCTGCTCAGCATTGGGAAGTTACTACTTCTCTTAATTCTGGCATTTGTTAGTCAGCTGTCACTCTATTCCTTTGTATCGATCTGACTGTCCTTTCTACTGCACCAACTCTTACTTCTCTTCAGTGTCAGGTTCCCTGCCACTGCTCTGGTAAGCTTCCTCGTTCTAAAGATTCAGCTTTCCTTGGATTCTAGGAATCTACTAGTCACTACCTCTTCTTTCATCCACATTTCACCAAGTACTTCTTTTTGGACACTTGAAATTTCCCGAACTAATCTTTGATTACATTTTCAAATTTCCCATTCCTTTAACTGAGAGATATTCCTCTAGCCAGTGTGTCTTTACAGTTAGATGTCTTTATGTGTGTGCATTCTGAGGCAAGGTCTCACACACACAGTAAGTAGCTCTGGCTGGCCTAGGACTCAAACTTGAGGCAGTCCTCCCATCTCAGCCTCCAGAGTGCTAAAATTATAGGTGTGAACCAAAGGCCCAGCTTCTCTAGTTTTGTTTTTTAAAGATTATTTATGTCAAGGCTGGAGAGATGAATCAAAGGTTAAGGGCACTAGCTGTTTTTCCAGAAGTCCTGAGTTCAATTCCCAGCAACCACATGGTGGATCACAACCATCTATAATTAGATATGGTGCCCTCTGCTGGCCTGCAGGCATACCTGTAGGCAGAACACTGTATATATTTAAAAAAAAAAAAACTTATTTATGTGTATGTGTGTTTGTGTGGATATATGCTACATGAGTGTAGGTGCCCAGAGAGACCAGAAGAGGGCATCAGAGCCGTGGCATTGGAGTTATGGGCAGCTGTTAGCTATCTGATGCATGTTCTGGGAACCAACCTCCAGTCCTCTTGAGAGAGCAAGAAATGTTCTTAATCACTAACCTCTCCAGCCCTATTCTTAGTTATTGTTAATCTATTTTTACCCACCCATGGCTTAAAATTTCAATGTTTATTTTTATTTCTAGAGATAACTGCTGTGGGACAATGGTTTGTAGCTTGTTTTATTTTAATAAAACGCGGATTGGCCAGTAGCCAGGCAAGAAGTATAGGCGGGGAGACGAGAACAGGAGAATTCTGGGAAGAAAGCTCATTTCTGCAGTTGTTACCCAGCTACAGAAGAAGATGTGTCTCGCTGAAAAGGGTACCGAGCCACGTGGCTAATTCAGACAGGAATAATGGGCTAATATAAGTTATAAGAATTAGCTAACAAGAAGCCTGAGCTAATAGGCCAATCAGTTTATAACTAATATAGAACTCTGTGTGATTTCTTTGGGACTTAACGACTGCACAAACCAGGCAGGACAAGGACCCAGTGGGACAGAAAGTTCAGACAACAAATAACTTTAAGGATTTTTTTTAATTTTTACTTTTTTAATTTTTAATTTTATGTGTGTATGCAGGTGCCTGCTAGGTGAAGAGAGGGTGTCAAACATCC